AGACAAAACTAAACTACAAATATGTATATAGTATCGTTGTTAATTGTTACCATGGGATTCTTTTAGTTTTCACAGGATAAAAATAGATCATTTTATTGATGAAAAAACATATTGTGTTTACCAAGTATAGCACATACATTAACAAAAGATTACGTAGGCACAGAAAATGTGATTCAATTCAATTATCAGGAAATAACTACAGGATATAAGATGTAATTTTTTTTAAATTGTGATCTATTTAAGAAACAAGATTTTTTAGAATCCTTTAGATAGAAACAGCTAATCATCACTTAACCGATTTATGAATGAATATTGAAGAATTTATTTCTTCTCAAAGCATTTTGATAATCATTACATTTTAGAAAAGAATCTTTCATTAAAGCAAATACCTAATTTTAACATTGTTAACGTTGATTGGATGACCTACTTAGTACATAGCTAACCACAGAATCATGTATTCATTTATATTCAATAACTTTGATGTTTGATTATAATTCCTGGAAAAAGCTTGGACCAGATTACCAGACGAAACGTTAGATTTTCTTCAAATTCATTCTCTGAGATTTTACAAACATATTCTTTTTCTTTAGTGTCTCATATCAACTCGGCCCCCTAAATACTGTAAGACTATTCGATCGACTTTAGACGAAAATTCTTATATATCCTATTTAGTTAATATAAGCATACTTTTTTTAATAATTACATTAAAATATTGAATCAATGGACTGTTATCCAGTATTTTAAATATATTCTAACGTCTATCAGTTTTTAGTTGATTATGGCTTCCAAATTAGATCTTCACCAATTATGAACTATTGTTTACAGTCAACTAATGAAACATTCGAATCATTTCATTATTTACATCAAGCTAATCCAGAGATAATGTTATACAGAAACGCAATAGTTTGTTATTCATATATGAAAACTATCCTTTTAATTATTTTACTAGTATTAGAGAGGAACGAATAAACAAAACAATAATTTTCACCCTGATTATTCTATCGTTTTATGATTGAACGAAACTAAATCTCACTGAAACCATAAACCGATCAATATTGAAAATCTGTAAACACTGAACGATTGATTTCAATGAAACTCAACAATTTTCTCAGTCTTATATATCTATATTTTACGTTTCACATAGTGAAAAAAGTAATAAATTTGTTTAGTGTACATACCAAAGATACAAAATGCTAGAAAACATAATTTAGATACTAATCAGAAGGGGTTTTGTCGAGATTTAGTATTTGCATAGTTGAAAGCTTGAGCCAATTGAAGCTAGACCACCAAGGAAAACCTGAAAGCACTGGACGGCCATTTCGTCTTGTTGTGAGACTCCTCAGCAGTGCGCATCCACGATCCCGCACTCGCAAGATTCGAACCCAGGACTAACCAGTCTTGAGCCAGAGCCCTTAACCTCTAGATCACTTGGCCGACCGGCATCCAACGGTGTTAATGTCTAGTTTCAACTGATCCACAAAGTTGAGCAACCATTTACTAATTGTCTTCAGTGAGTTCCTATCTCACAGCAGATGTGGTTTGAACTCCACTGGTCACTGCTTCTCACTAGAACTCTTGGATGTACTTCTTGAAGTCAATCACTAGTGAGCATATGATTATAATAATTATTAGAAGGGGTTTTGTGGAGATTTAGTATTTTCAAAGTTGAATCTCCACAAAACCCCTTCCGATATTAAATATATATTTTGAAAATGAATTATGTTTATGGGATTTTATTGAAATAAATTTATTACTAAAACGTTAAATGTAGCAAATGCTGAAATGAACAGTTAAGTTTGTCATAAAAATAATTATCATTTTATGAATATTGTTTTTGAAATATAGAGTTGGTTTTATATTACTTATCATTGACATTTAAGTAATGTGAAGATGTAAGCATATGATTTTTGAGAGATTTGACTTAACCTTATAAATGATCTTGAATACTAGAAATCTGATACTTTAAGGACATCATCAAATATATGTGGTAGAATAAACTTCATACTTTTATTTTGACAGACTAATGAAATAAAACGTTATCCAGAAGATCGTTGTATTTTATATAAGTGATTATTTTAAATATAGTTTTCCTTAACAAAACTTTTTATACAAAATTATGTATTATATAGAAGCCTACTTGAATATCTCAGCTATCTGTTCCTGACATCTAGATATTTCAACATGTTTCCTTGTTTGTTCTAACAGTTCACTATTTCAGTTAGCTTCATAACTTATTCAGGTGTGTTTGTGAAATATTTACGACCTTTCTTGGTACAAGACATCATGATGGCTGACAATATGGATTGGAAAGAATGCACATTATTTTGATGTCGATTTCTGAAATGCTTACGTCTAACTGGCAATCGCTAAATATTTATCGTCAATATCGATGAAGAACTAACAAACGGAAACTTTTTGAAATGCTTTGTACTGAGAATTCTACATTGCACTAAAAATGTAATGTAGAATATTTATGTAAGCTATAAACTTTAGGTCGTTAAAGCTGTTTAGGTAAAAATGTTAGTATCTAACAGTAAGGATATTTTTTGACTATTATATGTTCTTTATAGACGTAGAAAACAATACAACAGTCATATCTATGTTGTATCAGTATTGACATGATATTTATTTTTCTATCAGAACCAGTCTTAATTTATTATGAAAAAAATATCCAAATACAATGATTTAACACATAATTCAAGGTATAAAAACTTAATCTAATGTTTGATTGATAAGTTATTTACATTGTACTTTTCTGCAATATAACTGTGTATTGCAAACATATATTCCCTAAATTAATGTAGTAAGGTGAAACGATATTAGCAACAGGGGTCATTAGTCTAAAATCTGTCATTTAGGACTGACAAAAACGCTGTTTACCTATTTATAAAGTTGATAGTTCCCGAGGTTCATAGAAGAGACTGTAGTGAACAAAACACTAGTTGGGGACAATCGAATGTATTTAAACAAAAATTACAGACTATCTAAATAAATTCTGATAACCATACAAAGAACAATTAATTTGCAAATTAACAAGCAATTGTCTCAATCTTCACTGTTTCTTCTCTAATTCCATTGTACAGGCATCTTCCTACCGATTACGCTTCATTTCAGTTCTTTTCTCATCGGTCTTCTGCCAAAATGCATTCTATGTCTGACCAACACAATATACTACTTATATGGATATAAGTAGACCACAACACAGACTACTTGTTTCAATGAATTATAAGTGATTCACTTAATTTTTCTCAGTTATATTATATTTATTTATATTTATGTTTATCTATATTTAATTGACAATTCTAAGAGGCATCAGGAAACACTTTGAACTTTGATGATGGTCCTTAGCAAAAACGTAAATATACCCTGAAAACTAATAATTCATCTTTAAAAGATAACCAAATTTTCAAGAATTTTGTAGGAATACGAATCAAACGTTCGATGACGTGATGTCTTATACAATAAGCTGAAAAGTAAATAAATCGAAGTATGTATTTTCTCAAACTCTTATGGGTTACAAGTGAACATGAAAATACAATGCATCAGTAATTTAAAATTTTACTTCTAACAAAAAAATATTAAAAAAATCTAACGTAATTTCATTTCAGATTAAGGGGGTTAGTTATTGTTGTTTATTTTTCATTTCCCATTACTCCATTCTCTTAGGGTATTGGTACAATAGACTTTGTTATAAAAATCCAATTTGATTTATTCATCAATTTTAATTATATCTTCCATAAAACTCTTCATGAGGTGGATGTTAACCGACAATATGTTTAAATGTTAAATGAAACAAAATAAAACTTGTCATTGTATATGATAGTATCAATTGATCTTTTTATACAGTATAATGGTTATAAAATTAGATAGTTACCATAAACAGTAAAATAGTATAGGCGTTGACCATTATTCAATTGAATTATTTATTTATTTTTGGATCAACTGTTTTGTTTACTGTTTTGGAAAAAAAATACTTCTTAACCTATTAATATATCACCACACCCTGAAAAAATGTCCATATATTAAATTTCAAGTATATTAAAATTAGGGACAGGATATTTTGTTGGATTTATCACATAGAATTTATTGTTCAGTGTCATTAGAAATATGATTTTTGAAATGTTCAGGTTTAAAATGAATAAAACAATAATGGGTGTGCTTGAAAAGCTAAAGATAATTCATTTCTCAAAAGGGGGTTTTGTGGAGATTTTATTAATTTTATATAATTCAGATGATGAGTAAATTGAAGCTAGACCACCATAGAAAACCTGGAAGCACTGGATGACCGTTTCGTCCTATTGTGGGACTCCACAGCTGTATGCGAAACTGATAGGTCCTGGGTTCGAATGTCGCAAGGCGGGATCGTGGATGCGCATTGCTGAGGAGTCCCACGGCATGACGAAACGGCCATCCAGTGCTTCCAGGTTTTCGATGGTGGTCTAGCTTCAATCGACTTAGGATTTCAGCTATATAGTTTTACACTTCATTCAATAATAAACTTCATTATAATGTAATTCAAACAGATAATTCTCATTTCAATAGACAGAAAACATTAACAACGTTTTAGAAACAAAATAGTCAATTCATTTTACTTCTAAGATCTTATATTGCAATTGTATAGCAATGTCATTGTTAAGTATCTGTAATATTAAATGTCACCCATATGGAAATGGTTGATTTAGACATTATGACACTATCAACATCGAAAAAATAAAAAAAACTGGAAGATTGTAATAAAGACATTTGATATTACCTTTTTTTAATAAATCAACATATTCATGTCCATAAATTATTTTTTTTCCAGGATATACAATAATTTCGAAATAGAAGAAAAGTGTATATGATTATGAATTGACCAATAGTAATGTTTTGTTTTATTTTTCCCAAATCTCTATCATCTGATTGGTAGATTAATTATATTACGAATATTATATTCAAATAAATTTATTTCTTCACCTGTATATTTATGATGTTTAGTTCATTAAAACGTTTTCGGTTTACTTTTTTTAATTAAATTCGAATAGAAGATTGTATTAATTCATTATTCAAATGAAAACCTTTACATTTTACTTGTAACATACATTTGGTAAGTTATTTAATAAAGATTTTCATGTTTGTTATCATTGACTATTTATTATTTTAATTGAGAATGGAGTTTATGGAGATTGTAGTAATTTTTAGTAATTGAATTCACGAGTTAATGTAAGCTAGACTATCGTGAGAAACCTGGAAGCACTGGATGGCCGTTTCATCTTATTGTGGGACTCCTGAACAGTGCGCATACACTCTTAAATGTTAATCTGTTTGATGTGGTTCACTTACACTGTAATAATAATAGCCCTTGATTAGAGTCATTTTTTTCTAAAATGAGTAAACCTATGAACAATTTTCAGGTTACGAAAATTCTTGTATCCTGTTTCCGTTGAGAATAAAAGGGTATACTGAATTATCAGTTTAGTTTGTCATGGATACATGAATCTTTAGAAAAATTAGATATACAATCATCTAAGTAGACATTCACAAGAGTAGTTGAATATTTATGTGTATTTCATTTACATCATAAAATATATTATTAATTGCATTACAATATTTTCTATCATCAAAGTGCTTGAACTTCAGATATTCATATTTCCGTCTTAAGATTTATTCTTCTGTTAACATAAGTTTTAATATTTATTCGTAAGGTTTCACCCATTTCTGTTGTTGATGTCTATGACTGGATTTTGATCAATGTATTTTAGTAGGTCTACTTTGTTGGAATTGACTCGATATTGTCAACAGGTCACTAGTTTCTAAGTAGAATTATTTGATGACTAGCAACGGAATCCAGGACTCACGTTCTATCTTACTAAGAACTCGTCAGCTGGATGTACCTAAATCCCTAACACGTAGAGAGTCTAGAGCATGAAACACGGATGCATATATATCCGAAAGATTAGTTTCAACCAGAACCAAACTCTTATCCTGGATTTCATTGCTAATCGCCAATGAACTTCACGTAAAAACGAAGTGTTTTTAAATAGTAGAATGTAGCAATACTACAACCCAAAATGATTTTAAAATATATTTTGAATTCTCTCAGTATTATGATCTGTAAACAAACAGGTTAATTCTTCAGTGTTTAATAAGTACAACAAAGTTTTTACCTTGTATTCCATGAAGTGTACAATGACCAATTGTTTTCGGTTAGAATTTTACATAATTTTGGGATACTTCCTGATTACATATAACTCTTGTAATCGGAAACCGCGAAACTGTTCGTTTTTCCTGCATACAGTTTTCTTCAAAGCCTATCCATTTTTAATGAATCATCTTTCATTTTATTGCTTTGTAATTGATATGTTAAGCTGTATAGAATAGTATATCAGATTAACTTCGCTGTATACATTTACAGATGATTAAACACGAATGAAAGTATACATTTCCTTTTTTACTATTTCCGAAGCAAGATTTCTAATAACCTTTTAAACTACTCGGTTTTATTCTTAATCATTTAGTGAAGGGCAACATCTCACAAATATACTTACCTATTTTTTGGTAGTTTATGGAATTTAACGAATATCTATTCGATATCAGTAGAAATGGTTTAACCACCGATTGTTCTACTGTCGGTCTATACTTGTTATACATAATTATTTATATAATCTACCTTGCTGATTTCATTGAATCAAAATTTATCGTTCAGGTATTAGGGCGCTTTTGTTAATTAATCGTTATAGAACTGTAAAATTTCGGTTTTAATCTCACTTAACTATTTATTACAAACCTGACTCGAACAAATAAATTAATATATTTGTAATATTCCAATGGGTAGAAAAATTAGATTTTCTGACGTTTCGTGACTCAGTGTAAGCCATTTCTTCAGAGAACTTCAGAAAATCTAATTTTCCAACTCATTGAGATATAACAAATATATTAATTTTTTTATAACAATCTACTCAATTTATTCAAAACTGACTCGAATTCGTTTAATCAATCCAAGTATATTTCGTTATCAAGTGTATTCATTAAGTTTACTTGTCAGTCAATCAAAGTCACTTCTTTTTTTAACTATGGATGTTTATTGTTTAAAGATAAAGATTATAACTATTAATTATGTATGCATCTATGTGTGTAATCGGAGTACTTAAATGTATTGTGTGCATCGATTCTGTCTATTTAAAAAAAAACTTCTCTATATAATTACTGCTTGTATAAATGAAACCGTAAGTGTTTTTTGTTCACTAAAATTGTTAAAATATTTTTCAGTTGGATCCTTAAAAGTAGTATCGAAGAGCTTTTGAAAGTGGAAAAATATGTTCACATCCACCAAGTCCGAAATAAGAATAACAGTAAAGAAATGATTTGGTTTCTATATATAAAACAGATAGAGTTTTTTTCTTAAACAGAAGAATGCAATTTTTTTCTTTTGAATGAAAACACTGTTGATTGTAATTGTTGTTCACATAGTAACCAGTTCCTAACGAATTCGTAATTTAATGTCAGTTTAGATGTTGAATGATGTGTCATAGTTCTTCTGTTTATGTATTTTATATTAAATCCTAAGTGAATGTTATATTCTTTGATATTTTGAATAAATATTGAACGTAAGGCATGTTATTTCCATGAATAGAATAATTGAGCATTTAATGGTATGATATTCTTTGAACTCTATTTTGCACGGATGAAAATTGTCGTAGAGTTTAGTACATCATCACCTCATGTTCAGTTATAAATCTTATTACTGATTTGAATAGAAAATTAACTTGTTATTAACTAACGACTGTGCAATATATATATATGTATATATATATATATACTGGGGGATCGGGATGGTCTATCAGGCATTTGTAGACCAATGTCTTGAGTTAGTTAGGTGTTAAAAAAATTTGTCAACGATTGTGAATGAGAAATTACGAAATAGAATGAATTTAAATTATTATGCCTTATAAATTCATTTAGTATTGTTTGTTTGAATCTTCACATCGATGTGTTAAGACTGCAACTGGTCAGTCTCTAATTGGCATGTGTGCATACTGTGCTTATTGCCTCAATATAGACTAAATTCAAAAGCATTGTAAGCAACGATGGATAGTGACTATTATACTTTCTTCTTTTATTGGCTTTATTCAAATTGTGAATAAATTGATCTATTCTTTTCGATTTACAGCTTTATTATTCATTTCAGTACTTAAAAATAATACCACCATGCCATTCAGCTCTTACTGATGACTGTCAGCTAGCTCGAAGCGTCAGTTTATTCTTTTCTACCAACTGTTTCTGATTATCACGAGTGTTCAAGCTACTTAAAGTGTTGTCTTTCTATAAATATTATAGAACAAGTCATATTGTTATAAACAGAGATGGATGGTTACTAGCAGTGAAATCCGGGATGCACGTTTCGACCTCTTTGAGACTCATCAGCTAGATATACCTGCATCTTAGATGTGATGTTCAATTCGAGATTTCAAACCAGTACCGTTCGCTCCACTTCACTGCACAAGCTTATGGCCAACTGGAATCAATCGCTAAGTAGAGAACGTGATGGGATTTGGAGCAAACGATACTTGGTACGCGCGTCCACTGCTAGCCATCATCCATCTCTGCTTATAATGCTTGTGACTTAAGGCAATGTCGAGGCAGTCCGTACTAAATACACATTTGCGAATAAGAGACTAGGCAATTTCAGTCCTAAACATCAATGAGAAGCTTCAAACAACCAATAAAAATACGAATTAAACATATTGTTGTCTTCCAGAAATCAAAATGTTCAAAGAATAGGTTTAAAGGCTTGTTAATTTATCACAGACTGATCCATATATTACTAATTCAGAGAATCAGCTCCCGGAACAAAGTTAAATTAGTTTTCTCTGGTTAGCAATTTTGTAAGTATTCTATTTTGAAAGATGAATTTACTAACTCCACGTCTAACCATCCTCTTTTATTATGGCTTGAAGCTAAAATGAGTTCAGGGGAAGTTATAGTATCGCATAATGAGTTATAATGGAATCACTAAAACTTCGATTGCAAAGCGCAGGTCATGATTTTTTTATTTTGATGCTACATTACATTATGAAGTATATTTTACTAGTTAGCTAAGTAAAATTTAGAAGATAAATTGAGCAAAGAAATATCTTTTCTCCCTACACCAATTAGTCGATTATGAAACTGGGTAAACATTCAGTGTTGGTGAGTCAATTTAACAATATAATAATCAGTTAGTTTGATGTGAATTATCATAATCAGTTACTAAATACATGTAGTTACATTACAGTTCATATAGGAATTACAATGTGATGAAATTATGTTCATTGTTATCTGTGAAATTGATAATATGTAATTAGTATAATGGCTGTAATGATAATTAGATTCTCAGGTTACTAAACACATTACGTAAATGTTAGTTATAACTTTTTGAAACTTACTTGACAACAGAAAGGTGTTCTTGTTTTCTCCCTTTACGTATTTGAAATTTTTATACAGGTTGACCTTAGTACACTCCACAGGTAAATCAACCGCTTCGTACATCTACTAATATTTATGTTCATATGTTTACATACAAGTAAACTAACAAAACTAATCATATTGTTGAAATACGTCATTTGAAATGTATTGCTAAAAACTATGATATTAAAATGAACTTCGTATTTATGTAAAAAAAACAATATTTTAACTACCGCAGTAGAACATATAGATGCGCAATAGACTCTTCTATTTTGTAGCAAATTGTCATATCAAATACTAAGTAAAGAACTTGGACTGCTACAAAATAAACTTGTTTATGATAGTGAAAATAGCAAATAAGAAGTAACATCTTCATTACATCTACATAGAAATTTACGCTTTTCATCCTTCTTAGGGCATAACTTGCCGATCACGATTCTTCAACTGACTTTATTTTGATTTATCCTTTCCAGTTATTTCTAATTACCATTTAGTCTTTTGATGTTTATCTTCAATTACCGATGCAATATGTTTTTTGGTTTGTCTCTTTTCTTTTTGCCTTGAGGATTTCAAATTTTCTTTATACTGAACAATAATAAAACAAAATATTTAAGGTTATAAAGGTAATAAAAAAAAACCGAAATAAACTATTAAGTTCCAAAA